AAGCATTTATTATATTGAAATAAAGGTTTAAAATTATAATGCAATAAGTCAGATACCACTAGGAAACTTTATTACTGCAAATCATTTTAAAAATACAATTTATAGGTATTTCTTAGTTCAACAACAACAAAAAATACATGATGCAAATTACTGATAGGATCCAATAAAAATTAAAGAAACCTTGAGCTGAAAATATAAATAATATTTGCCTTTAATTTAGGTAAATATATTTACCTCACGTAGTGTAACCAACGTTTTTATATCAATAGTTGCTCTTTTCACAAGCTCCTTATTTTCTTTCTCTAATTCTTTTAGACGGATACAAGATTCTTTACATATGCCAATTTCTTTGGATAGGGTTTTGTTTTCTTTTTCCAAATTTCCAATCTTCACATTATTTTCTTCTAATGTGGTATCTTTAATTTCTGCTTGTTGTCGAAGTCTCTTATTTTCCTTCTCCAATTGTTTCTTATCCTTTTCCAATTGAGAAGTCTCTTGCTCTAATGATTTATTTTCTTTTTCCAGCTGTTCTAGTCTTTTGCTAGATATTTTTAGTTCTTCTAGGTTTTTTTGCAATGTTTGATTTTCCATCTCTAAGTCTTGTAATTCACTCTCTAATTGCTGGATTTTTTTATTGCTGTTCTCTAAAGCTTTTTGCAGTCTTTGATTTTCTATATCTAAACCCTGGTAGCTAACTTCTAAACGTTCTGTTTTCTTGAAAGATGCTTTCAGGAGCTCCAAACCTTTCTTAAGTTGCTCTTTTTCACTTTCCAGTTCTTTGTTTTCTAGCTGTAGCTGAGCCATTTTGATGCTTGCACACTTCAAAGATTCTACATTCCTTCGCAGTTCTAAGTTTTCCTCATCAAGTTGGGAATTCTCTTTTTCTAGGGATTCTAACTGAAAGGTCAGGTTTTTAAAGCTATCCAATGTTTTTTTAAATTTTCTATTTTCTCTTTCTAGCTCTGAATTTTCTTGTTCTAAGGCCTCAATTTTTTCACAAGTAATTTTTAAATTAGTTATTTTTTTCTGTAACAATTCATTTTCTTTTTCAAGATGATGCAATTCATTTTCAAGTTCTTCTGCTCTTTCTCCTTTTTCTTTATAAAGTTCCAATTCTTTTTTAATTTGTCTTTTTTCAAATTCAATCTTGCTTAGCTTGCTACTTGTTTCTTTGATAGATTCATGGAGAATTTTGTTTTCTTTTTCAATGTCTTTCACTCTTGCTTCTGCACTTATCTGGGACCGCTGCCTTAAGGAAGACACTGTTTGATTCAGATGTTCATTTTCCTGTTCCAATATCTTAATCTAATTTGAAAAAGGAAACAATTAAAAACTGTAATTGAGTCAAAACAAATTATGATTTATCCCTTCCAAAAACTACCAGGAAAGGGGGAACAAAAAAAAGGGTACTAGAATGTCTGTTTTACTTTTAATTCTGACAAGTATTTACTGAAGACCACTGTGTACACATACTGCCAGGCCATTTCGTGTCTGTGGGAAGTTCACAATTTAAAGGAATGGTTGAGAAATGTATTTTCTATTAATCGAAATGGTCTTCAGATTATTTACGGTTACATGATTCAAATTCAAATAGGAATGCAGGTGTAACACACACACATAGCTCCTTGAGAACAAAAGGTTTTACTTTTACTAAGTAACTTTTCCAATGCCTATAGTGGGTCCTCAGTAAACATATGCTGTATCACATTTGTGTATATGGGCTTATACGTACGTGTATTCATTCCCAAAAAGAATTCTAATTAGGAAGCATCGAAATCACAAAAATCACTGGGTACGTTTGAGAACTAATTCATCCTATTTATGGCGTGACCTAATACAATGATTCTCAAAATTTAGTGTGTTAAATAATCCCAAGAAGCTTGCAAAAGTGCAGACTGAAGCTTAATCTAGAATTTTGGTTCTGTATCTGTAAAGAAACCTTCATTTTTATGGCTGGTCTGAGGACTATACCTGGACGATATAAAAAAAATAATTTTACTTCTAAAAAAATTAATGCCCAGGCATGGTGGCTCACACCTATAATCCTGGCACTTTAAAGGCTGAAGCAGGATTATCACTTGAGCTCAGGGATTTGAGACCAGCCTGGGGAGCATAGCGAGACTTTGTCTCTACCAAAAAAAAAATTAAAAAATTATCTGTGCATGGTGGTGCATGCCTATAGTCCCAGCTGAGGTGAGAGGATTGCTCGCGCCTGGTGTTCGAGGTTGCAGTGAGCTATGATTGTATGACAGCACTCCAGCATGAGCGACAGAGACAGACCCTGTCTCAAATAAATACATATTTCAAAAAAAAAAGTCAATTAATCAATCCAGTTCTCAGTTTCCTCAAACATAAAATTAGAATCAACATTAAACACTTGAAAACAAATTTGATAATATCCAAGACAGTGTGGTTGCCACCACATTTCTCCCTCTTTGGTAGGTAAGAGGACAGCTGCATTTCCTAGCCAACTCCACTCAGGGACTCTAGAATCTGCAGTCCTATTCCACAGACGCTTGAAAGCACAAGTACTACAAATGTTTATACTAGATGATTATTAAACACATGGGCAGTTTAAAAAACCCTAAGCTTCGTCTTCAGCTTTCCTAAGATACATAGGTTAAAAAATGAGGTAAAATTATAATTCCTTTAAAATAAAAAACGCCTAAAGTGTTTCCCTTTAATGTTATATGAACATTTTGTTTGCAGATATTTTAAGTAACTTTTGCTAATAAATTTTAAAATACGTTGTTTGCTTAGTAAAAAATGTATGAACCTGTCTCTCTGAATTTTCTCTCAGTGTTTCAATTGTTTTTTCAAGCTGAGCTTTCTCTTTCATTAGATCCTTGCTTAAATTCTGACAATTCTGAAGACTTTGCTTTTCTTGAATAATCTCGTTTTCAAGAATTTCAACCTAAAGAAAATTAAAACACAAAACAATATGTTAAATAGTCTACAATGGTGAAAACATGTCAAAACAAAAGATAACTGAATAAAGGATGAAATATAGTTTTAATATCTAAATGCCAAAATTTAAGAACTTAGTATAGAAATTCAAGTAGCATTCCATGCTAATTTCCACAGCTGTATAAAATATGCAGACATGACTTCTTATCCTATGCATCTTTTGGGGTAAGTTTCAACTTCTAAACATAAAGACAAATCCAGCTGAATAATGATAATGTGCTTTATGAGAACTATACAAGTTTTAGTTAAAAATTTTCTTGGCTTGAGTGGATTTGTAAAGTAAAATTTTACTTATAACACAGAGAATTTCAGTGAGCAAGAAGGAAGGAGAAGGTATAAAAAGAATGAAGGAAAAGATGAGAAATAGTACAGTATAAATTTAATGAGGAAAAAAGAAGAGACTTGGTTTAAAATTAAAAAAAGGGAGGAAAAGAATACTACTATAGAAAAAAGAACTAAAGAAAACTAGCAAATATTTATATTTTAGGTTCAAATTTCTTTTGAATTACACATTTTAGAGATAAAAATATTGTTAGTTAATATGTACAAAATAGCAAATTTAGATTAAAAATATGCTAAGACTATTGATTTTCCCATTATCATACAACATATTCAAACCAGGCAATTAAAAAAATTGAGAAAATTTTACAAAATATTCTATTTCAAGTTAAATGTTACTTATTCTTATGTCAATAGTGAAGCACTCTAAAGCAATTTTAACTTTTCTATTGTAACATTAATGGAAATAACTACACACATGGAAACAATCTTCCAATAATATTTCCAGCCTGGGCAACAGAGGGAAACCATGTCTCTACCAAAACTTAAAAAAAAAAAAAAAACAACCAAAACCAAAAAACCTAGCCAGGTGTGGTGGCTCATGCCTGTAGTTCTAGCTACTCGAAAGGCTAAGGTGGGAGGATTGCTTGAGCCTGAGAAATGGAGGTTGCAGTGAGCTGAGACTGCGCCACTGTACTCAAGCCTGGGTGACAGTGCGAGACTCTAGTTCAAAATAATAACAATAATATGAAAAGCATCATGTCAAAAAACTTATCCAATAACTCAATTCAACATTAATTTACAGTTCTGGAAGCTTTCAGCTATGAATAAATAATCTGGTTCTCACATTACATGGATGGAAATATATGAATAACAGTTATTTAAACTCATTTGTTGTTTTGTATCAATGACATTAAAGTGAAACATTCAGTTTACAAAAAAATCTTTTGTGCAATTAATTGATCAAAAATGCATGAATCACTAAGAATTTACAAATTAAACTTCAAAGCTAATTTCAAAAAGAAACTGTATCCTACAAGCCCAATTATAATGACAACAAAATAAAACTGTTCTAAATTCTAAATGGTCATCCTACTTTAACACTATATTGTCAAACACTTATTATTTATTTATTTTAAAAATAAAAAAAAACTTGCAAGAATACCAAGGAGCCTATGAATAATCTAAGGCAGTGGTTTTCAAAGCATGATTCCAGGACAGCAGGATGAGCATCACTTAGGAACTTCTTAGAAACAATTCTTAGTCATGCATGCTTTTATGTTGGGATTCTATTTATGTAGAATTATGCGTACAGAAAGATATGCAAAAATAAAACACTTGTGATTGCACAACTGGAATATTTCTGTTCAACCAAAGTCTAATTAACATTCAGGTTTCATAATGCCTAAATTGTGGTCTCTAAATATCATTTCCCACTAAAAGGAATAAGAGCTTTTTAGAGAAATGGCTGTCTCTAGGTCTGGGACAGAAAACGTTCAAGTTGAGCCTAAATTATTTTGTCATGACAAAAAGCAAGAAAACTCTCAAGGGAGTGCTAAGGCCATGTCATAAGGATTCAGGACCAAATCAACTTTTAAAAAGGCTTCCACTAGCCTGGGTTGAGACAGTAGGAAAAGCAAACGCAGTGGTTTGAAACAATACAAATATTTTTAAGTTCATGGGTTCACAATGACACTAAAATAACAAACTCACTTATTTGTTGTCTCAAGAGGATATGAGAGAACCAATTCATTACTTGGAAACTGGTAAATATAACTTCTCAAGCCCTTCTTCTTCTTCTTCTTCTTCTTCTTCTTCTTTTTTAACACTAAGTCTCGCTCTATGGCCCAGGCTGGAGTGCATTGGTGCAATCTCAGCTCACTGCAACCTCCAACTCCTGGGTTCAAGCAATTCTCCTGCCTCAGCCTCCCGAGTAGCTGAGATTACAGGCACCCACCACCACGCCCAGCTAATTTTTGTACTTTTAGTGGAGACAGGGTTTCACCATGTTGTCCAGGCTGGTCTGAAACTCCCGGCCTCAGGTAATCCATCCACCTTGGCCTCCCAAAGTACTGGGATTATAGGAGTGAGCCACTGTGCCTGGCCAAGATCAGCTAGTAAGTTCTTAATTGTTGAAGCTGAATAATAAGTATAGAGTTCATTCACACCATGTTTATGTATATTTGAAAATTTCTGTAACAAGGTAAAATAACATTGAGGGTGCATTTGAAAAGTGGAAAATAAATGCGCCATTTATTTACACTTTTACAAGTATTTTTTAACATTACAATAAACATTGCATTTTAATTTACCTTTTTATTGAGTCTCTGATTTTCTTTTTCAATTTTTAGGATTTTGGAAGCGTTGCCTTCTACAGAATCCATAGTAGTCCGAAGCTCTTCTACAGTTTTTGTCAAACTTTGGTTTTCCATCTCTAGCTTCAATAATCTACTTGAGGTTAACTCATTCACCTCATGGCCCAGGGATTTCTGTGGTGCTAAAATATTGAAAAATACACCATTGGTAAACCTATGTTTACTCTTTACTTTTTAAAAAGTTGAGCATATATGCATTGCATCATCTGATCCTTAACTTTAATAAAAATTCAACGAGGTTATATAAGATAAACACAATAAGAGAGGTGTTTTTTTTAAGAGATGGGGTCTCTCTCTGTCACCCAGGCTGGGGTGCAGTGGTACGATCCTAGCTCACTGCAGCCTCAAGCTCCTGGTCTGAAGGGATCCTCCCACCTCAGTCTCACAAGTGGCTGGGACTACAGGTGTACACCACCACAGCCAGCTAATTTTTTTACTTTTTAGTAAAGACTGGGTCTCTGTTACTCAGGCTGGTCTTGAACTCCTAAGCTCAAGCAATCCTCCTGTGTTGGCCTCCCAAAGTGCTGGGATTACAGGCATGAGCCTCTGCACCCAGCCAAGAGATAAACCTTTAACTTTTAATGCATCCACAACATTCTACAGAAAAAAAGTACAAAATTTAAATTAAAGAAAGTGGAGCTCCAGTAGACCCATTAAATATTTTGCTAATATAAAAATATTAGGATTTATAAATGAAATATGAGACCTATGATTTCAAGACAGTAAATGAATGAAGGTATTGGAGGGAATTGGCAGGTCTGTCTACTTTTGTGTATGTTTCAAATTCTTCTTCATAAAAACCAAAGAAATACAAGCACATCCAACATATCCCCCCATCATGAATAAAATCTCTTCAAAATTAGATAAGTAAATAACCTCCATAGTTATGAAAACCTCAATTTTTATTTCCAGCTTTCTAGTCATCATGTTGTTAATCTTTTACTGAAGGTTGGTATACCGAATAGCTACTGACTTTTAAAATTCCATTAGTTGCCCAAGTCTTTTTTTAATTAAAAGATTTAAATTTAACTATAAATTTATAGGATACATTATTCTAAGTAGCAACCAATGAAGTATTAAATGGATTTTGAAAATACAATACTACTTGTTTTATTTTGGCTAAAAGTTCAAAATGTTCTGAGAATGCTAAAATTATTTTAAAATCTTTTTTCCAGTTCCATTCATTATCCCTTTATAAATCTGGTTCTGTCTTATAAAATCTATTAAAACACAGCATAGAAACAGTTTAAATATATATCATTCCCTGATCGTAGCATTATTGTTAATCCAACCTGGATTAGATGTTTTTAAATGGTCACCATTATATATAATAGATCTCTTGAACTCACTCTCATCTAAGTGAACTTTTTTGTCCTTTGACCAACATCTTCCCAATACCCTCACCCCTCAGCCTCTGGTAACAACCTTTTTACTCTGTTTCTATGAGTTTGAATTTTTTGGATACACATATAAATGAGATCATACACTACTGTCTTGCTGTGCTTAGCTTATTTCTCTTAACATAATGCCCTTCAAGTTCATCCATGCTGTTGCAAATGACAGAATTTCATTCACTTTTTTTGGGGGGGCGGAGCAGAGTCTCACTATACTGCCTAGGCTGGAGTGCAACAGAGTGTAATAGGGTGATGTGAGTTCATTGCAACCTCCACCTCCCAGGCTCAAGGGATTCTCCTGCCTCAGCCTCCCAAGTAGCTGGGATTACAGGCACCCACCACCACACCCAGCTAATTTTTGTATTTTTAGTAGAGAAGAGGTTTCACCATGTTGGCCAGACTGGTCTTGAACTCCTGACCTCGTGAGCCACCCACCTCGGCCTCCCAAAGTCCTGGGATTACAGGCATGAGCCATGACACTTAGCCAGAATTTCATTCTTTTTTATGGTTGAATAATATTCCATTATGTACATAAACCACATTTTCTTTATCCATCATTTCATTGACAGACACAGGTTGATTCCATATGTTGACATCTGTGACTAATGCTGCAACGAGCATGGGAGTGCAGATATTTCTTTCATATACTGATTTCATATCCTTTAGATATATACCCAGGAGCAAAACTGCTGAATGCTATGAGAGTTCTATTTTTAGTTTTTTCAGGACCCACCACACTGTTTTCCAGAATGGCTGAACCAATTTACATTTCCACACATTCCATAGAAACTTAAAAGCACAAGTACTGAAAACTTTTACACTAGATGATTATTAAACACCATTGGCAGTTTAAAAACTTCTAAGCTTTCTCTTTAACTTCCCTAAGATACATTCGTTAGAAAATGAGGTAGAAAAGTTCTGAAGCAAATTTTTTGAAATGAAAAGTGGCCTAAAAAATTATTAGTGCCTCTTATTTCTTTTTTTCCCCAAAGTCTGTATATTTTCTAGAAAGAAAGTCCCTTGTATACTTAAAAAAATAAAAACTACACCACAGTAAAGCAAATATTCAGTTCTACCACCCCAGCTAAGATCAATTCCAAAACAACTGCGACATAATAATGATATTTAATACCTGAATGCTTACTATTTAGCAGGCACTACACTTAAGGGCCCTGCAAATACCAACAATTTAATTCTCACAGCTCTAGACGATATTCACTATTTTGTCCCCACTTAACAAGTAAGGAAACTCTTAAGGAACAGAGTAATTCTAACTACCTTCAGTAGAAAACATTTAAGTTTGAATTGCTTTCTTTGTACTCAATTCACAAGGAATATAATTTTTAAAGTTTCACAAATATTTTAAGTAACACAAGTTCAATGACTGAATATCATCACTCACTCTATAGTCAGTACATGGGGCCCTAGAATTTGGATTAGGTTCTCAAATTAAAATAATAGGCCGGGCGCGGTGGCTCACGCCTGTAATCCCAGCACTTTGGGAGGCCGAGGCGGGTGGATCACGAGGT